TAGGCTGTTACAGTAAAGGCTCCTGATCGATACGCCTCCATCTCCACGCCCTCTGGAGTCCCTGCCCACACTGGCTCTGGGCTTAACCATATCATCTGCTTCGGCCAGTGGAACATCAGCAAATGTGATGCAGGCAGAGGCTTGAAAACCACGTGTGCATTGGGGCTTGCTCTCTTGTTGCTGGGCTATCAGGAAGTGGGTTAGCCTACCAGAAGATGAAACTACAGGAGCAAAGACACATCTTCATGCTGCGTTCCCCTGGCCCAGCGGTTCTCCACCAGAGGGAAACATTTGCCAACGTCTGGATATATTTTTGGTTATCCTAATTGGGGAGGGGGAGCAGCTACTGGAATCTGGTGGAAAGAAGCCAGGGAGCTGCTAAACATCTTACAATGCACAGGACAGCCCCCCACAACACAGAATTACCCCATCCTAAATGTCAGCGGTGCTGAGTTTTAGAAAGCCGGTACCCTCAACCAACCAGCAACCCCTGCCCTCACCAGGTGATCTCCCAACTGGCTGCAGCCCCATGAGTTACCCTAGGTGAGACCAATAAAAGAATGGCCCGTTGACCCCAGCCTAGATTACTGCCCCACAGAATTACAATAAGCAATAAGGTAGTGATGGTGTTAAACCATTAAACTGTGGGTTGGATTTTTACGCAGCTGACACAGGACACTTGGCTAATGGTGGCCCACTGCTGTGCGTATTTGCACATGTCCTCACTCTGTCACAGGAATGTAGAGCTGGCTGGATCCTCGTGCATGGGCGCTCCATCTTGTGGCTATTACCCGGCTTGGAGCTGTTTATTACACCTACCCCCCTCCTGCCCCATACCCCGATTACAGGCCAGTTGCTGTTCTAAGTTTTCCATGAGTATTGATTCAGTTAATCCTTACAACAGCACCATAAGGTATTAACCCCTATTTTACAAAAGCGAAGCTCGGGCTCCAGATTAACTTGCAAAGGGGCACACGGTTACTAAAAACGTCCGGAATGGGGACATCTGGCCCCGAGTCTGTGCCCTTGACCACTGCTCCATGCTGTCTCCTGTCAGTGACACTGCTTCTCGGCTTCATGGTGTGCTCTGTCCTCTCATGGCCCGGCTGCCCCCTCCCCTGCCCCAGACAGTTGCCCACTAGGATGGCTGGCCACTGCTGCTCCCAGGTCGCCGCAGGTATGTGACGCGCTATGCCTTGAAACAGGACTCCCAGGAGGGCGACTGTGAGCCACGGTTCCTGGGTCAGGACCCAACCCCCAAGCCAAGCTCCAATACTTATTCGCTGTGGGATCTTGAGCACTTTTCCTAACTTCTCTGCGCCTCAGTTTCCTTCCTGGCAAAATGGGGCCCAGTCATCAGTGTACAACAATCGGCAAAGTGCAGGACACAGGTCTAAGTACTGGTGACATGAGATAAAACAAAGGCATGAGGTCCCCCCTCCGGGACTCATAGCATGATGGGGAAAGGGAAGCACTAAACAATCACAGTAAGACAGGGGATCAACATGCACTTGTAAGGATTACGTGATAACGGCTGTGACAGCGTCTAAACAGTGTCTGGTGGTGGCTGCTCGGTGGACAGCAGTGGAGCCTCGATTCCAGGCTGTAGTGGTCGATTTCTAAGTTCCTGGCTGCGACCTTGCTCCCCCTCTGGGGGCAAGAGAGGGGGACCCAGTAAAGTAACAGTAATTTGGAAATAAAATGTTGCTTTTCTTCAGGAAAAGAGGCATGCTTCCTGGCATTTGAGCATTTTTCTCACTCCCTGATTACAGTTACACTCCTTCTGCCATTACAGTGCAGTGGTTCCCAGCCCAGCCCCTAGAAATGGATGCGTGGGTTCAGGTTCCCTGGGCACGCGCTTAACTTCTCTGGGTCCCAGCCTCTCATCTGTCAATTGGGGATGATAAGTGACTAACGCATGAGGTCATTGTGAAGTTTAAATGGATTATAGAATGGCACACTGCATGTGCACTGTTATCAAAGCTATAGCTGTTTTTTTTCATTCTGCTTTGCCTGCACACACTGCCCCCCTCCCCCAAAAGCGGTTCTCTGAATCCTAGGGCTTGTGGCTGGCGGAGAGCTGACTACCCTGCTCAGATCGAAGGTCACTTGTGCCTTTAGGGGCCATAGAACTCTCCCTCCTCCCCTTCCTGCTCCCCTTTCACGGAGTCATCACCTTGTTCTTTATTATCGTGATTGTTAATTTAAAATACAAAGGGAGTGTATAATCATTGTGCAAAAATTAAAACATGCAGGTAAGCAGGAAGAAATTAAAATCACTTCAAATCTCACCATTCAGAGAGAATTAGCGTGAACGTTTTAGGGTATCTCTCTCTCCAGACTTTTCTGCATTCAACATATTTGCCTAAATAAATGTGTGTATATATTTAGGCCTGGGGTCAGCATGCTCAGCCTCAGGCTCTTCTTGGAGGGCCCCTTAGGTAGATGGGGAACCACAGCACTGTCGGCAGCTCTGAGCCCAGGACCCTGGCAGGTTCGGGGAAGGACCTTTCTGCTTGGTATCAGTGTGCTCCCCGCCCCCAGCTGAGCCTGGAGCTGCCTTCTCCCAGCTCTGCAAGGAATGCCCATTTTGGAGCTGTTTTCGATCCCTTTCACAGATGCAACTTGTTGGTGGGACAATGGTGTCAGAAGAAAACCCACAAGCAGGCCCCTGGGAATGAATTGGGCCTCTATGTGAAAAGCCGCTCTCAGCCGCAACCCAGCTCCTCTTAACCCATTCTGAAAGCTGACCAACACATTGCTAATAGCCAAGACATTGAAAGGATGAAAAGGGAGCCCGCAGAACAGATGCAGCTTCACGACAGCTGGAGAACTTATTGGCAAATGCGAGGGTGACATTTATCCAGGCTTTCTCGACTCTTTTCCAAACCTAGGGGCAGTGGAGTTTGCTTTCATTCCCTACCATGGAATTTCTCAGAAATCTTACAAATCATAATGGCTATAATTTATTGAGCACATAGTCTGCGCCAAGCTCTTTACAGAAATGATGTTTAAATCCTCACCTCAGTTTTACAAGGCAGATAAGGAAACTGAGGCTTAAGAAGGCAGTGGCTTGACCCAGGTCATGCTATCAGTAAGAAAGAGAGTAAAGAGAGATTTGAACCCAGGTAATCGAACTCCAGAGTCCTTCATTTTTGCATAAAAATGAATGTTTACATTATTAGAGTGCCCTATGCCCATAGTTAAAAATCAAATGGGGCTAAAAGGTAACAAACTTCGGTGGCCCACAGCACAACCCTCTCTACTCCTCTGCCTTGCTCCCTATAAGCAACCAACTCAGCAGCAGCATTTTCTGCTCTTTACTCTGGATTTATTTCATTTCTTATACATTTTTTCCCCTTGAATAAATAATCCCCCTGCCCTCTTTCCCATTTCTTAGTTTCTTCTACTTATTGTAATTTCCCCCCAATTCCTTTAATGGATCTATCAAAGGCCTAACAATAACTTCCCCACTGCTCAGCCAGGCTGTAGCATCTTGTCTTCCTTCCGCCATGCCCTGGCACCTGGCTTCAGGCTGGGCTGCTCCCCGCTCCCACACACACTCTTGGCCCAGAGACTTCCTTTTGCCACTCCCTTTGCGGGAGCCCCTGTTCTTAGATGACATGGCTTCCTCCTTCATGAGGAGTGCAGTTTTGGAGTCCTGCATGTCTGAATATGTTTTTATTTCCCCTTCACATTTGATGGATCATTTGGCTGAATATAAAATTCTGGGTTGAAAACCATGTTCTTTCGGAAGTTTGACGGCATTTCTTCCTTGTGTTCTATTCAGCGTTTTTGGAGATAAGCCCTTCTCATTTCCATTCCTTTCTGTGTTAGGTGCTTTTCTCTTTCTGGGGCTTTCCAGCTGTTCTCTATCCCCTTTGTGTTCTAACATTTGATACCATGTCGTCTGGTGTGAATTGTTCTTTTGCTCATTGTGCTGGGCACCTTCTATTGAATTTTTAAAACTTTAGTTATCTTATTTTAAATTTCCCAAACCTCTTTCTTCTCTGAGTGTTTTGGGATTCTATTTTTATGTCATATTTTCTCAAGGTTACTAATTTATAGGTTCTTTTTTAAAAAATATTTTAAGGTTATATGATATCTGTTCCTTCCAACTTCCTTCTTATCTGTTTATTTTGACCTCTCTCTTTCATTTCAAATGTCTGGTGACCCTTCATATTTAAGAGCAAGGCAGGCTTATAGGCTAGCAGATGTCACAGTCGGGTGAGAGGACTAGAAAGCTGTTTTACTGGGAATCCAAATAACATTTTCTGGAGATCTTGTCCTAGGAGCAGGGGATGGGGGTAAGAAGCAGCTCAATCTCTCCACAGAAGAAGCTTCCAAATGCCTGCTTGGCAGGGAAGTGACACCTAGCTGCTGATGTCCTGGGAGCGGACAGGAAATCTGAGGGTCCATAATTTATTAAGCTTTTAATTAATCTCCAAGTTTTCAAACTCCTACCTCCCTGTCACTCTCTGCTGTGACTAATGTCCTGGAGTCCACAGCATTTCCAGTTCAGCTTCTCTAAAGAATAATTTCAGGTCTCTCTCGTGGAAAAAGAGAGGAGGGGGTGGCTTCCCGTTTCATCGCGCTGGGCCTCACTCCCACCTTCAGGGACCTGGTACCTTTAGGCAGCCAACCCGGGCAGATTCTACGGTCTCCTTGGTTCACATCTCATCATTTCCCTCTCTTGCATGCACGTGGACTTTTATTTTCTCCACTCCACGCAGTCAGAGACTACTCCCTTCCCCATCTGCCTGTCTACAGAAATGTTTAGGAGTCTTTCCTCCGCATTGCTGTTCTCTCTTCTTCTCTTCATCCTTTTGGCTTAATGCCTTTGTGATTCCACTATTAGTGGTTATCTAGGGAAAGGGGTGAGTGAAGTGGAATTATCGGCTATAACTGTATCAGGTATCCATTTTGCCTAACAAATCACCCAAAAACTTAGTGGTTTAAAACAACAATGATTTATTATTTTTCATGATGCTGTAGATTGCTTGGGTGGTTCTGTTGCTTCACCTGGGCTCACTCATGCAACATCCATTTAGCAGTTGGCTGGGCTGGAAGATACATATGTCTGGTGGTTGGTGCTGGCTGTTGGCTGGGGTGCCTCAGTTCTCCTCCACTGGCCCCTCATCTTCCAAGAAGCTTAACCAGCTTCCTTAAGGGGTGAACTCAGCAATGTCCCAAAAGGTTAAAGGCAGAAGCTGCAAGGTCTCCTAAGGCCTTGCCTTAGGAGTCAGGCAGCATTACTTCCACTGAATTCTATCAGTCAAAGCAAGTCAGCCCAGGCTCAAGATGTTTTCTCTTGATGGGAGGAGTGGCAAAGTCACACGGTAAAGGGGTATGTATGTAGGGATAGGAGAAACTGTTGCAGCCTTCTTTATAAAAAAAAAATCTATGCTACAGAAGACATAAATGCAGATCCATCCGCTTTCTTTAACTGGAAGTCTTCCCGTGCTCCTTGTATTACCGCACACCACCAGAGTCTGTCCTGGACCTTAATTTAAGATCTTTTGAGAGTTTTGCTCATCAAATCCCCATGGTCCCAGGTAGCCGTAAGTATATACAGCACAACCCCACATCGAGGAGAGGAGTAGAGCTCAATAACTCTTATCAAAGCATTTAGTATCGGAGGAACTTGGCATCAAATCCCAGTTCCACCATGTCTTAGCCCTATTATCTTAGGTATGTTACTTAGTCTCTCTGAGCCTCAGTTTCCTTACTATAAGATATGGTTTTGTGTATAATATGTGAATTAACACATGTAAAACCCATACTTAGCCCAATGTTTGATACAAAGCAGCATTCAGCAGTGAAAATAAGTGATTTTTCTGGGAAAATATCACATCTCTAATACTTGAATCACTGGAGATGGAATTTGAGAAAGAGTCTAATTTAAATCCAGGCTCTTTACATAAATACTTCATGGGGCTGTTGCGAGGATCCAATGAATTAAAATGGATAAAGCACCTAGAAGAGTACCTGGTACGTCACACGTGCTCAGTAAAGTGTTTGTGTATATCCTGCTTTCTTAGGTGGAGGCACCAGCATAGCTCACTTCCGACAGGGCCATTCTGATGGGGAACACCACCTGGTCAGGTGCGGGTGGGTTGGGGAGGGGTTTGCTCCATACAGTGAGGACCTGGCAGCAGGGTTAAAAGTCGCTGCGCCTGCTCTCTAGGGCTCACGCAGCCAGCCCACAGGCGTGCCTATCTCTCCAGCTGTGATCCTTAACCTGGATTCCATGGGTCAGTCAGCCTCAGGGGCCTAAGAACCGCTTGATGATGCATGGAGCACATGAGTGTATATGCGTTTTTCTGTGATCTAGACATCACAGCTTTTGTTAAATCTTCAGAGAGGTCACTAACCCCCTAAATGTTGAACATCTCGGGTCTAGAGACTCGCCCACCCTTCCAACCAATGTGCTTCTAATGTGGCTTGGGTTGAGAAATAAAATTGTCTATCATGTTAGGACTCTGATTGAAGTAGGTCAGAGGGACCTGAAGAAGAGCCAGGTGGGCTGTCCTGTGGCGGAGGTGGGCGAGCTTCATAGTGAATGACACTATGGGTCCCCGTTTTGCTGCCCAGTCGCCTGCTTTTGCATCCAGGCTGGCCTAGCTGCTTGCAAAATTTGGATGACTAGAAAACGGACTCCCAGTGAAGTGAGCTGGTTGTCACTTTGTTCATGCTGTGGGCATTTTCACTGTCTGTCAGGCAGTCCAGGTGTCCTGAGCCCTCTGTGTGTATGCTCCATCCTAACTTCCGGGCTGGGTACATCAAAGAAATCCCTCACACTGCACCCAGCAGCAGACAGGGAAAGGCTGGCCTTATCTGGTGACTTGCAGTGACATCTAAGAAAATCACCTGCTATTCCTTGACTGGTTCTTCTATTACAGTCACATTTGTGACCAAAACAGCCAACTTTTAAGGGTGGAGTTTTTCTCATGAATGTACTAGTGTATCATTTTTAAAGAAAAGAAACAAACCCAGCAGAGCTGTAACAGCTAAGCTAAACCTTCTTCCCTTTCAAGGTTAATCCTTTATCATCTCCCTCTTTTGTGACTCAAAGGCAGAGAGAAGAAGGTTCACCCAACCTCTGTGAACTATTTGTTGACTGAGCCATTCCTGGGGAGGCTTGTCCAAAACTCTTGGAGAGCAGCTAGGGAGTGACCTGGAGCTCTACTCAAAAGCATCCTGGGTAATTCGGTGGCAAGCAGAAAGAGAATTCTGGAGCCTGTCATGCCAGTGTGAGGTCTCCACAAATCCACCACAGGGGACCATCTTCCCCCAGCTGGAGGCTGCCTCCCTTCCCCCTTGCCCTAACCCACCCTTGTCACTGGTACTGAACCTCTGGCGGGGGCCTGGGCAGGTAGCCAGGTCCAGGACAGCTGGGGGCTAGGGTTCCCGAGTTAAGCCTCTCTGGAGAAAGCCCCTTTCCCCTGTGCCTCTCAGCACAGGGATTGGGTGACTCACTCTCAATAAGGCATCATCAATTTCCTCCTAATAACACACTTGTCACTGAACCATTCCAGGAATTTGGTATTGCAAGAGATCTGGCTCAAGGCAGCAGGGCCAAAAGGTAATCCTCTGTTTATAAACTGTTTCCCACCGAGGGCTGGAGAGGGGCGAGGAACATCCAGTCAATGCCACACATTCCTTTTTTGGAGCTGGAATGGTTATACCCACTTAACAGATGAGGGATGTAGTGACTCAGAACCCCAGGCCCAGCTGGGACAGACCCTGCCTCCATCCTCCCACAGGCAGCCTTTGTGGCAGACAGCTGAGGTTTGACTCCGGCTACGCCACGTCCAAGCTGGACCACCTTAGGCAGGCTTCTTCATCTCTCTAGCCTCTCCTTTCATCATCTATGAAAGGTGGAGAATAGTCAACTCATGAAGGTTTTGCAAAGATTCAGTGAGCTACGTTAGGGAAAGGGCTACCGGCACAGTGCCAGCACGGAGCAAGTGAGGCAGTTAGTATTGCTGCTCCAGTTAAGGGCCACGTGCTTCCCTTCAGCACGTCACCACCTCACCTGGCTTACTGTTGTCCTCCCCTCTGACACTGTGTCCTGTCATTCTTTCTTTCGAATAAGAAAGGTGGCCGCTTCCACATTATATCACTTACTCCCGACTAGCATTTGGGGGAGACGTTATTATCCCTAGTTGACAGGGGTAGAAACTGAGGCTGGGAAAATTCGAGTGACTTCCCAAGGCCGCCACCAGGAGCACAACAGATCAGGATTTGAACCTAGGTCTCACTCTGCATTCATTCTCCAACACGCAGCTCCCAGGGGAAGCCCACGATCAAGGACCAGCTGCCAGCAGGGAAGTTCTGAACGTGGCCAAGTATTTTTGTCACTGCATTCTTCCAGGCAGCTCAGTCTCTGGACTCTGGACAGTTGCCAAGGAGGTGTGAGCAAGAAGGGAGAACGAGGACTTCTTCTGGAGGGTGCAGTGAGGCAACCAAGCTGTTATTTACTGAGCCCTCACTGCATGCCCTCCATGCTAACGCGGGGCGTCTCTGTTAATCCACACACAACCTGTGAACAGGCCTAGTGCAGGCCCTGCTTCACAGAGGAAAACAAGCACAGAGAGGCCAGGTCACTTGCCCCAGCCTGTACCTGGGTGTCCAACTGTGTTATTAACCTCTCTACCTGCTGCCTCATGCCAGCATGGCATAAAGTGTGGCCAGAGCAGGTTTGGAAACCTTATCCAGGCGAAATGACCTCTACCCACAGCAAAGGCTGAACTGGCAGGCCCTGTGTCCCCCAGGAGCCTCCCGGGTCTCTCCCTGAGCACTGCTGAGTTTCTGTGAGTGTGTGTGTGTGGGGGGGAGGGGGCAGTGGTTAGCGAGAGGCATCTCCTGCTACTTGCATCCCGGGGGTGGCAGCCCAGGTGGCAACAGCCCAGGCAGCAGCCTCCTCAGGACTGCCCACCTCAAAGCTACCTGTGTGTCTGCAGTGGAGCTGGACTTCAGTAAAAAGCAAAGCAGGCCCTGGAGCCCACAGGGTCCCTAGTGTCCCTTGCACTAAACTCGTCCCTACCCCACCCCGCCCCACGAGCATGGGGGCAATCTGCCTGAGGGCAGAAGCTTGACCCCACTCCCCCGTTTCTTCATCACCCAGAACAGTGCCTGGCCCTCCACAGACATTTGATGAGTGACAGACTGACAGATGGAACGACTGACGAAAACCCACCAGTGCAATGATAAACAGAAGCCAGGGTGGCAGGAATTGTCTGGGCTGTTGGTGAGGGTCCACGTGGGAGCGGAGGTGGCGCTGCCCCGGCAGGCCGGATGCAGGGAACATGTAAAGGCCTCCAGAAAGCACAGGCTCAAACCTGAACTAGAGAGGCCAACAGGCTAGCCAGGGTGCGACAGGCGGGTGGTCCGAGGCCGCCCGGCCACACACCAGGCCTTGTTACGATGTCAGAGCTGCTAAGGGCTTCTGCCCCACGCTGCCTCCTCTGCCATCACTGCTACCGAGAGTCCTCCACGAGAAGGGACCGCCCGGAAACGGAACCCGTCTGCACTGGGAGTTGCAGACGAGCTTGGAACAACCCCCTTTCTGCTTCTCTTCCTTCCCTCCTAGTGGTTGACCTCGGGGCTGTCCCTTCATCAATGGGTTGTTTCCCCGTAGCTTTGCCATCTGTCAAGTGGAGAGCATATCTTCCTCCCAGGACCGTGTAGATGCCAGAGCCTAGAACTTGCGTAGCACCTGCACCCCGATCTCGCCGCAGCACAGTTGAAGGTGCTAACTCTGCCGAGATGCCACATCCCTGCGATGTCTCACATGCAGACTTTCCACACCGCAGCTCAGCGCACTGAGCCTGTCCAGGCCTGGGCCCCTGGGCTTCTGCCTCCAAACCCTGCACCTCCATCTTGCCCACCCTCCCAGCCTCAGAAGCTGGCTTTCCTGTGGGGCAATCCCTGACACAAAAAAGGAAACAATTAGCATATTCACCGATTTAATTCTCTCTATTCCCTTCTCTGTGAAAACAATTTGCCAGGGCCCAGAGTCAGGGCTCCGCTAACAGCCCTGTCAGGGGATGGTGAGGCTCGGGGACCTGTGAAGTCTCCAGCTAATTAAGTGAAAGATGCTCTGGGGAAACAGGTTTTATGTTCCTGCTGCTCTGCACAGGTCACATTAAGCACAGAAGCAGCCTCTGGAAACTGTGGAGAAGGCAGGGAGGGGTGTGAATGACAAAGATGATTAGAGGGTTGGAAAATGAGATGGATGTGAGATGAAAGGTTAAGGCAATTGAAGTATTTAGCCTGAAGGAGACACAGGGATGAGGGGCCAGCAACTTAATCATCCCTTCCTGTGCTGTGAAGCAGAGTCCTCCCCGTTGGGTCTCTCCTTCCTCTCTGCCTGTGTTCTCTTGCCCTCACTCCCTTTATCTCATCCACCTTTTTGTTCTACTTACTTGTCGATTCATTTTGACCTTTACTGAACACCCACTCTGTGCCAGACACTTTGCCAGGTTCTCGGGATGAAAGGACAAGAGTCTCTCTGCCTTGTAGGTCAAGTGGAAGCAGTGGGCCCATAACCCCGAACTACCTGGACTAGAGGACTAGGGGACGATAGGTCCTGTCTAAGGTCTCAGAGGCAGGAAGCGCTGAGGCTGCAGCTGCTCTGAGCGCTCGGGAGCACAGTGGGCCGCCCAGCCCTGTGTGGGCTTCAGGGGAGCTTTCCTGCAGGAGATGGAGCCCAAGTGGGATCCTGAAGAATGGATCTGTGAGCCAGGTGAGCACAGGCGGGAAGGGCAGTCCAGGCAGCGGGAGCAGCCCAGGCAAAGGCCCAAGACGAAATGCAGAGTGTGCATAAGCGACTACAAACTGCTGGGCTTTACTGGAGCCAAAGGTAGGGACCAATGTGGGGTGGGGCGCGGCCAGAGGGCCAGGCAGGACCCAGATCCCAAGGGCCTGGACTCTGTGGCAGGGAATGTGGGCTTTGTCCAGAAACAGTGCTTCCCAGAGTATTCAGAATGAACAGGGAGGTTACTTGCAGGGTTAACAGGTGTTTCTCCCCAAAATAAAATTGGTCAAATAAGTTGAGTGACATTTGTAAAAAGGGGCATTTGGCAATATCTGTAGCTATTTTTGGTTGTCCTAATTTGGGGGTGGGGTGCTACTGGCACCTAGTGGGTTGAGGCCTGGGATGCTGCTTATCATCCTACAAAGCACAGGACTGCCCCCTGCCCAGGGCCCCCACAGTCCCTGCACAGACCCCAGCAGGCCCTTCATCTCTGTGCTGTCGTGGTCTGCTTGCCAGCCAGTCTTCTCACTGGACTGTGCGCGTCTGAATGGCCGGGTTCAGGCAGTCAGTATCTGGGGGGAAAAATATGGGAGAAGAGGACTTCCCGGCAGGGTTGGAGGGAGGGGCTTGCTTTGGGTAAAATCTGTTTTGTGAGGGGGGTACTCCCGCCAGCAGGGCTGGTGGGTGATTCTGGGGGGGGGGGTTCGTTCCATCCTAGCAGCCCCCAGCTGCTGTGGCTAGGGGTGTGGGAATTGGACCCGGCCCAGGAAGCCGGCCGGACCCGAGTCACAGAGCTACTCTGTGCTAGGCCCGGGGCGGGCTGCCGCACGCACCCCCTCTGGCCAGGCTCTTCTTTCCCGTTGGATTTTTCTTTATGGGTTCTTTTAACATGCCTGTTTTTAATGTATTTGCCTGTCTCTTCTCTTCACTCCCCTTCCTGCCTCGGAATGTCAGCCCCATGAGGCAGGACTTTTCATCTGTATTGTTGACCGCTTTATTCCCAGGGCCTGGCACATAGTATGTGCTCAGTTAAAATGTGTTGAAGCAATGAGTGCCTGAACACCCCCTTGCTGTACAGCTCAGAGTGCCCAGGTGCTGGGCCGAAGTACCACATGTGTTCCCTTTTCCTCTGCACCAGCAGGAATGGGGGAAATCCCAGGAAGTATCCCTCCTAAACCATGCAGTATTTTTCATTGTCTAGAGTGAGAATCCCAAAGCTGCTTTAGGGGGAAGATGCAGGAACTTTACATGCACACCCTGGTTGTCCCTGAAAAATTTGTGAGGGTGACTAACCATTAGCTGCTGGAGGAGGGAGTAGAGCAGGGTGATGCAAAAGGCCAAGCAGCTTGGCAGCCAAATGAAACTGTAGCCAGTTGACAGGACAATGGCATGAACAAAAAGGCCTTGCTCCCTCTGGTAACGCTGCCAAGCATTGTGACACATGGGTAATTGCATCTGAGTGCGGTGCTGTGGGGTTGCAGCCCACAGGCTGGCCGAGCTTCAGTCACTGCCGGCCGCCTGAGGAAGCTCATTCATTACAGCGAGGGGCCAACAGGGCACTCCCCAATTACACACAGCGCGGACCAAAGCAGGGAGAGCAAGTGCCTACTGGTCCCCTTGGAAACAAATGCAAGGAAATAAAAATCCGTGGGTAGAAGCAGGTGTCCAGGTCTAGCCAGGGTTGCCAGGGAATTTTGTGTTAATGGGGGGAGTCTGTGTGCCCCCAAAGTTACGGGCCATGGGGTTCTTATTAAGCTTGGGCCTGTGGCCTGGGTTATGGACAGAGCAAAGCTGTTAGAAACCTGGGCTCAAATCCCAGCTGCCCCTCCGAGCTGGGGGTTCTAGGCTGCAGAGGCCAAAGACCTGACACTGTCCTGAGCTTTGTGGCCTCAGAAAGGTCATCCATAAAAAGTGTATGTGGGTGAAGGGACGGCTTGTCTGTTCTGTTAACCTAATGGGGCTGTTGGGAGAACCAAAAAGATGGGGAAAGTAGAAGAGCCTTGAGAACCGTAAATAAAACATGGAGTGCAGGAAGACATGAGGGGGTGCAGCTGTGCCCCCCCCCCACCTAGGGGGCTGTCCATAGGAAACAACAGCAAACCACCTGGGGTGGCCTTTCGTTACCTGTGGAAGCCAGGGGAATTTCATGACACACCCCTCATCTGCGGGAGACACCTTTTCAGGCCTCAGGATGGTTCCTAGAAGCCTAATTAAGGCCCCTTAATGAACAACCCCATGCAGGCGCAGAGACACATAGTCCATTGGGTTATTCTGAATGATTTCTTTAGGCAGATAAGTTTATAGTCGGCTCATAATCATATGCCATTTTCCATTTTCCAAAACTCATATAAACTTAGTCCTTAAACAATACCAGAAGATAGGCATTATCATGCTCATGTGGCATAATTGTAGAGGCTCAGAGAGGTTGGGTGAGCTTTCCAAAGTCACACAGCCATTTTCTTTCAGAGACAGTCTTTGAGTCCAGGCCTTAGATTGCAGGTTAGATTGGTACCCACTCTATAGACACAACTGACTCTCCTTCCAGAGTGCCCCTCCTCCCCTTCTTTTTTAGGGTCTTTGTGTTGCTTCACCACCTTCCCTGACAAATCTAAACAGAACTCTCTGAAGAGGGCCGCCCGCCGGCAATACAGAATTCTCCCGGGGAAAGCTAATGTTCCAAGAGCAGAGCCTAGGCCGCTTCCTAGGCGGTGCTGTTCCCTTGGGGTACTGCGCACAGTAGGGCACCTTACATGGTGTGGGCTACGCCTGCCCGGAGGACTTGCAATCTCAAGCAAGGCAGACATGACTATTCCAACATCTATCGTCGCCTGAAAAGCTGGTTACAGCATATCTCCTAGATATGAGATGAGGGTCACTCTCTCCTTAAAATAAGTGCACTTCACTTACCTCCCTGTGCAGAGCCTGTGTCTGGATCCTGAACCCTGAGAAAACAAACAGAGGGATGAGAACTTTAGTTTATAATAAAGATTAAAGTGCTCTCTGATTTTTAAATGATACCCCGTGTATTACCAGTCAAGTTCACACCATTACCACATTTAATCCTTGCAATAGTCCGGTGAGAGTAGTGATAACCCTGCGAGGTATTCACATTCCCATTTTAAAGATGGGGGAAACTGAGGCTTCAAAGTGCACAGATGGCTTGCCCAAGGTCACAAGGTGAATATATGGTAGAGATGGAACACACACCTGGTTCTTCTATCTGCAAGTTCAGGACTTTACATAGGGCAACATCTTTTACTTTCTATGAGTAAGAACTTAATTAGCAGTAAATTCAAAGGTCGATTAGAGCTTCTAATGGGAATCCCTTGAATTCCTTGTAACATTATGACTTATCTCTTCTCCAAGAATCATGAAATCAGACTAATAGCATCTAATCAACCCTCACCACAAATATCACATCTGACATGATCGCAGGTGTGGTGTGAAGATGGAGACCCACCAGCCATTGCTCGAGGTTAGGTGCGTGGGCACCGCTTGGGACTGCGCCTCTTAAGAGATTCCAGGGCTCCCATAGGGCTAGCATTGCTTCAACAGAGCATTCACAGAGCTCTGTAGCAGCCCAGAGGAATTTAAGAATAAGTGTAAATCACAGTCACCACTTTCAAGGAGTTTACAATTTGGTAGGAAGGTGAGATTTGTTATGAAATCTTTGAAAGGCAATGTACCAAACAGAAAGACGTTAAGTGCCATCTGGTTGGTATACAGCCCAAGGCTTCGTGAGGATGTAGGCCTTGAGAAAGGGTAGGACTTGGAGGGGGAGGAAGGAGAAAGGGCCTCCATTCGGTGGAGGATGAAGTGCCGGCAGCAGGCAGTTTGTGGAGATGCAGGGTCCCAGCACCAGCCCCACCTGCACGCCCAGCACTCAGACCTGGGCCTTGGTACAGCCAGGTTTTAACGCATCTCTGAGCCTTCGCACCTGCTATGGCCTCCTCTGGACAGAACCTGCCTTGCTTGCTTCCTTGTCCCATTTCTCATGCCCCATTTACCTGTTAGCAACTGTCAGTTCAATCTCGCTTCTGCTGTGTGATGGATTCTGACACCCTGCAGTGCATTTCCTTTCTCCTGTGCACTGATCATGTGCTGTGATGATGTGTTCATAAGCCTGTGTTCTCTACATCACAACCCTGGAGAACAGGGACTCCCTTCTTTTAATTTTTGCATAGTCATTTGTTGAATAAATACAACAGATAGAAATGCAGACTGACTGAATGAACGAATCTGCAAAAAGAGAGTCATATGGGACATAGGGGCTGACACCAAGAACCAACGGCACCCTGGTCAGTAGATGTACGATGCCCAATAAATCTGAACAGAAGTAATGATTCTTTGATAAATGAATGATTGATTAGCTGAGTTATACACACACACACACACACACACACACGGTGCCAAAAAAAGTATGCACATTTTAAGAATGGAAAAAAACTGTATTGAAATTACACCGATGGTAACCACTTTGAGCACCTCTTGTAATTGCAGAAGTCAAATGTGACATGTAGTCAACTTTTGTTATGAGTATATTTTGAGGATTACAATTTTAATGCAGTTTTTTCCCCTTTCTTAAAATGTGTATGCATTTTTTGGGGCACCCTCTGTATATTACGATGAAATGCATCACCACTCTTCAGCTAACTTGGTTGATGCTTTTGGTTTAATCGTGTTTCCTTAAAGTCAGTGAGGCTGAGGCCTGAAGGGCCAGTAGGGGTTAAACAACCAAGGGGAAACTAAAATGCACACAGAGCAGCCGAGCAAGGCCTGGAGGTGAGGCAGGAGGAGGGCTTGAGGTGAGGGTGCAGCCACAGCCAGCAGGGCTGATGATGGATTAGCCAAGCAGCAACCCACACTGTGCACCTTCCAAGTGAGGGTAAACCCAAAGATGTGGGGTAGGACTTGGCAGCCAGGAAGCGCCAGCAAGGAGCGCCAGTGTGCGTGAGAAGGGATGTGTGTATAGGGGTAAGTACCTCTCATCTCTGAAGATGACCTGGCTTTGGGGGCTTCAGGTTGTTGCTATGGCATTAGGGACCGACTGTGACACCAGTGAGGGCAGAGCAGGTGTGGGTGACCGCGGAGCACATGCAGCAAAAAGCTGTGAGAACTCATAGAGACATGACCTCAAATAAATGAGATTCCAAGCTCGCCCATGAGAAAGAGAAGACCACACCTACATCCTCTGTCTGAGGATCCTGTTGGGGGCCCGAGCCCTCACCTTACCCTTATTTCCTATCCTTGGCCTCTGAAGCCAGCACCCCCTCTTCCCTTCCCAGCTTCCCAGCGTTTCTGCTTCCCCAGCTCAGTTGCTGGACCCACCTCCAGGCCGGGCCTGGTCAGCCTCTGAGCCAGGCAGTGCAGAGGCTGCAGCCTCCACTGCCAACCAGGGCCAGTGCCTGATGCCAACAACCTGCCTGGTTCCTGGGCGAGCAGCCGCTTGCCCTCCCTCGCCCACTGGTGCTGGCCCAGGTCACAGTACAGCTCCTGCCTTAATCCGCTCTCAGGCTGTGGCTTAGCCACTGCAGATCTGTAACTGTCCCTCACATGCCTTACATTATCCCACAGATGCATCAACAACAAATCCAAAAGGTGGGGGGAGTTATTCCCAGGTAGCCTGGGAGGAAAGGAGGCCCAGGGAGGTCAGGTAAACTGCCTGATTACTCAGCACCATAGTGGTAGAGGTGGTATTCGAACCTGGGTTAGATTCTAAGGCCCTTCCTCACCCACTGTTTTATACCCTTTGTCTAGACGCAGCCGCGTTCACTCCCCAGTCCCCTTGCCCTGCAAGCTTGTCTGGGCCCACCTCTGGCCCTGATGGCATCCTCTGGTTTTGATTGCCAGAGGCCATGATGAAACTTAATTTATTCCTCCACTCAACAAATATTTACTGAGTAGCCCCTATATGCCAGGCACTGTGCTGGGCCATTTATTGTTTTCTGGCTGCCTGAATTTGTCCACAGCTGGACCTGCTGACCTCCAAAGACATCGGCTGCCACAGCTTGCTCTGTCCTCAAAGCACCATGGTGGAGCTCTCTGTGGCCAGCTCCGACCAACTTCAGTGGCACAGCTGGACCGCTCTCCATCTCCTCTGTGCATTAACGGCCCACTCTGGCCTTGCTTTTTAACCTTTCTTGCTAGGCCTGTCTGGCAAATGCAGTCTGGGCCTGGCATGGTGACATTTGAGCCTGTTCCCATTATGGCAACTAAACCAGTCACTGCTGTTATCAAATAAGGGTCAAAAGATGAGAAAGAATTGAAACAGCTGCAGATCCATTTGATTCTTGATATGGTGACTGTAGGAATGAAACAACAACAGTTTTTTTGGCGGGCAGAGGAGCTGTCAATAATCACACTTTCCCCACTGGGCGGTGAGGGTCCTGGAGGCGTGACTTGGAGGCACAAAAAACAGGCTTGGAGGGGTAAAATGACCAACCTAAGTTTACACAACGTTATTGCATTTTTTTCTATTTGTAAAAGTAACACATGTTCATTGTGGAAAATTAGAAAGTACCAAAAAGTATAAAGAAAAGAGAAAATAAAGAAAAAAAGAAGAAAGTGGAAAAACACCAAAAGCATAAAGAAAAAAAGAAAAAAGTTTGTGATACCATTGCCCAGAGATGACAACCACTGTTAACATTTTGCGTGTTTACCTCTAGATTTTCCCTATGCATATATGTGGATTTATTCTGTACATGCTATTGTACTTTGTATCCAGCTTTTATCTCTTAACATTAATTGATAGCATTTCCCCCTTGACACTGTTTTATGAAAACGTTATTTTAATTGGCTGCATGGTATTCCATTATGTGGGTGTGCTATAATTATTTGACTTATGCTCTTAGTGATTTGGGTTACTCCCTACCTCTCCCACATTTTTCTATATAAATAACACTAAGACGGACATATTTGTACATAAATATTTGGGCACATATCTGATTTTTCCCTTGGGCTAAGTTCTAAGGGACACCGTGTAACAAAGCACTTTGGCATGGTCTGTCTCTCTCTGCCCACAAAGGGGGGGATGAGGGTCACTAGTTACCACCAGGCTTCCTGGCAAGGGCTTCGGGGGTACCCAAAGGGGGGATGCTGAAGCAGGGGGCATGGGCACCCCAAAGCTTCACTTCTCTTACAGTTTTTCTTTGCAGGTCCCCTGCTTTATTATCAGAACTCTTTAGTTCAGAAACCTGCTGAAACCAGCTCAAGAGAATAAAAGAAAAGGAGAGAATGTCAGGCAGGAACCTAGCGAGTCCTCAGAGAGGGTCTGGCGAGAGGAACGCGTTCCGGACTCCTCTCCCTTCTCCTCCCCTCATCAGTTCCGGTGGGGCGGGGGCCTCAAGCTTGAGTGCTTCAGAACAGAATCATCTGCAGGGCTCATTACAACACCAGCTGCTGGCAAGCTGCTCCCCAAGTGTCTGACTGAGCAGGCCTGACAGGACTGAGAACTTGCATTTCTAACACATTCCCAGGCGATGCTGCTGCTGCTGGTCCAGGGACCACACTGAGAACCACTGCTGAGTACAACATGGCCACTGGGGGCAGGGCAGGATTGCTACCACGCCCTGGTTTCTCCTTGTGATCCTGCCTGCTGGCACCAAAGCCAGCATGTTACCACCTCCTGTCAGAAAGAGACCTCCGGGCAAGAGGCTCAGGCCCCAGAGGGGGATGAGGGTGGTCAGGCCTTTCCCGGAGGTGATCTCTCCCTCACTCAGAGCCTTTTTCTCAGAACTACTTCAGTCAATTCTCAGGCAGTTCTCTCACAGCCAGACTTTCTTTCCTCTGGCCTGGCTCTTGGATGCTGAGCAGTGGTTAAGGAGGGTCTCCCGTCTCAGGGCACTCACTCTGAAGGGCTCCTCTGTTCCCAGTACCCATCCAGCAGGGATTGCTTAGGAAATCGGGTGGCCAGGGCCCTCCACAGGATGTGGCCGCCATTGAG